ACGTTAATTCGTTCCAGCGAAATCGCTGTAGTGAAAATGTCGTAAAGCGAAATAAAAAAGCCCATTGAAATGCACTGAAAACCGTTCAATGCATTCCAATGGGCTGAAAACTCACCGTCCAGCAAAGATTCTCCATAGGGGCGGACATTTTCCATGCCTGTGCAGCGAGGAATTCGTCCCTAAGCACAGCGGGGGGCCATTTTCTTCAGCCGGTGGCCATTTCGAAATCTGACGATCAGCTGTTTTTGATCGTTGTAAAGCAAAAATCGGTTCCCGAAGCAGGGAACCAATCATCGCAAAGTGGAAAAACCCCATTTTGCGATCGCAAAAGCGATCGCAAAAACCTCACTGTCAAGTGGATTCGTCGTTAAACGGGGTAATCGTAAAGCGGGGCATGACTGTAGTGCAACAGCATAAAGGGCAGATAATAACTGGACTAGGTATTAAAATACATTTGCTACTGTACAAAACAGGAAGCTGCTGTGGTGATAATGCTAGTCAGAGTCTCGCTGATCTTTATGCACTATAGAAGGCGCCTCAGAAAAAAACTGCAGCAACCAGGAAACAGCACAATAGCTTCCTCGTTTGTACCCTGCAAACAGGAAGTCGGGCTAGAGCCAGATGATGCAGTCATACAGCTAGGCCCAGGTCCAGGTGAGCAAAATGAATATGCTTGCAGGTGTAGGTCTCTCGGCTGGAACTCCCAGAATGAAATACTGTGTTTCCCCGAAAATAAGACAGGGTCTTATATTAATTTTTGCTCCAAAAATGCATTAGGGCTAATTTTCAGGGAATGTTTTATTTTACTCATGTTATCTTCTAGTTGCTGCACAAGGGTGGAGGGCAGGATTTCACTTAACTGGGGCTTATTTTTGGGCGTAGGGCTTATGTTACAAGCATCCTGAAAAATCATACTAGGGCTTATTTTCAGGTTAGGTCTTATTTTCAGGGAAACAAGGTATATAAATAAAATAAAATCAGGTTTGCTTCAGAAGGCATCAAGCCTTCAGTGAATTCATCCCAAAAGTAAGCCCAACAGTGATTCATCCAGCAGAAGGCCTCCAAAAGCAAGCGGCAAGAAGATTCAGCAAGCAGGCCCAGAATGATTAATACAGCAATCTCATGACTCTTTTTAGAATAATTTTGGTTCCCTCCTCTTGACTGGCTTGAAACCTTGCACAGATTGCTTTAATCCATCTGGATGGCCCTATCCTGCCGATTTCCAGAGAAACGGCTATGTTGTTCTTTCTCACTTGTATGTCTGACTTGTCCACGAAAGCTCACATTAAAATAAGACAATCTTTAAGGTCCTATGGGTTTTTTTTTGTCTTTTTGATTTTATTATTATTTTCCCTTTGGGTTTTGCTTGATACACTTGCACAAACTAACATTCCCCTCGTAATGTCTCCCTAACCCTAGAGACACCCAAATTACATCTCTGTACTTTGGGTGTCTCTAGGTACTGGGGTGGTGGTGGTGGTTTATAGGGTTTTAAAATCACGGTGAATCGACAAATTAGCTCATCAGAAAAAAATGGTAAACTTGTGATTCATCAACCTATAAATTACAAATCAGGACGAAACACCTTTTTTTCAGTTCATGCCCATCTCTAATACATGTGTACAACCCTACACAAAGGCGTATCTCTTCATAAGCAGGGGTGGGTGGGTTGCACACATCTAGCTAGCTTGATAACATTACACAGAAATCTAACCTCGGTACTTTGCCATTACAATACAATAAGATAGGATGATTTTTATGTAACTGAGCAAGAAATGGAATCTTAAGGCTTATATGTCGAAAACACCAGAAAAACACACTCAGTGACAAGAGTCTTACTTAAAAACAAAAATCCTTTAATAACAAGCACCATTATGCTACAAAGTCATAATGAGTGGTTTTAGAGCAAATTGATTAAATACATCATTTAAATTTCAAAAAGCCACTTTTATTGCAAAATAATAGCATAATATATTATATATATAATAAGCTTATTAGTTGATGAGATTCTCATAGAAAGATTTCAGAGCAGTATATCAAAATGCTTGAACAATATTTATTACAATAAGCTCTATTTCTTTATACAGCCACAGTAGGTTCACCCAGAAAGGATTTTTTAAAGAAAGACAGACAGTGAACAAACCCACAGATCTACAAGAACCTAAAGTGTTAAATTATAGTTTGGTCTCTTTACACATACACACACAAAATACCCCAATGTCCCTTATGGCAGACTGGATCCATTTCAAACAGTAAACACCACATTAATATCAGTGCATTAAAATATGCCTTGTAATCAACACTCATTTGGCAGAACAAAATGAAAGCGATGCTAATCTAGAAGATTTTGCCAACAGAGACATCTGAAGAATATTCCAACGGGCTACAAGTCTCGGGAGTAAGACGTGTCGCCAGGCAGCGATAACAAGGCAGCCAACAAGCACCCGTGGAAGGAAGTGCATTTGGGTAAAGGAGAGAAATCCCAAACGAAAAGTGTGGGTGCAAGTTCTCTAGTATAGAAGGAAAACAACGCTGCTGGGGACTCGTGATTCGTGACTCGCTGCTGAGTCCGACCAAGTCAACAAGCGATTCAGCTCAGACTTGATGCTTTTTTTTTAAAGACTGAATCTTGGGTCCATTTGTCCGAGTCATGTTATAAAATCCCTATTAGGGTTGGGCCTCCCTACCTGGCTCCTGTTGCCGCCATCATCCTCAGAGGCAGCAGGCCTGACTTCCTTTCCAGGAGAGGGGTTCTTGTCTCCAACAATGTACCTGCCATCCAGCTGATCGGCAAGCGCATGTACAGAGGCACGGACTGGCTCCAGGGAAGTCGGCCCGCTGTCTCTGCATAGGTGCATGCGCCCACCTGGCTTCCCTTCCAGGCACACTGTCTCTGCACATGTGCCAGCCTGGGTGGCACCATGTGCAGTCCAGATCTTTGGGTCAGAGTCCCAAGCCTTGGAGGGGGAAACGACTCAAGACCTGGGACTTGGGTGCAAAGACTCTAACTCCCACTTCGGACCCAAAGATTTCCCACTATGCCTGTTACTGCAGATGTGCTTCGGACAAGAAAAAGACTTATTATAAGCAGTCTGCAGAGAGCCCCGGGCCCCAAAGATTTAAAGTTGTAGAAAGAACAGAGGGCTAGAAAAAGCTCAGAAGCCAGGGAATGGTTCAATGTGGACACCATAGAAAGTAGTTAAATGTTTTCTGGACTGAACGACTCCAGCCTGGCATTTGGGATCACAGGAGTGGCACTCCAGAAAAACAGACTTTTTCCCATCTCTGGGAATGTGCATAGCTGAATCCTTCTCTAAATGCTGTGTGTGTGAGTCTTTCTATATGCAATCCAAAGTGGGATAGTCCAGAAACAGGTCGGTGATCTCACCTTTAAAAAAAGGAAAAAAAGCAAAGCGTGCTGCTTATATACTGCCCCACAGCACTTAAAGCACTCTCTGGGCGGTTTACAAGTTAATTATGCAGGTGACACATTGTAAAAGTCTGGGTAAAGCGTATTATATTTCTCTCATCTCTGACCCCCTTGGCCTGCTCTCCCTGTGATTATTCATGGCACCCACAGGTTCCAAGCACCCCATCCCAATAGTTATGCCTTTGCCAATAAATGGACCTCACACAAACAACTGCCCTGGGATATTTAACAGCACAATCTGGTTTTGAAAACATGCCAATTGAAGTTCGCTGCCAGGTTGGAGCAGGACCTAAAATATTCAGAGAAGAAGTGGATAAAAGGGCAATTTTAAATGCAAAAAGTCTAGACAGGCAAATTAAAGAAAGAGGTCTACTTAATACTGTTTGGTATTCCTGCGCCCAATGTTGCTTTAAAGTCACATGTTGTACATTCATCTGTCAATGATTAGGCAGATGTTGCAACCTGCCTAACGATGCATGTGGCCATCACGAGCATTAGGAACTTTGTGAAGGAAAAAGAAACAAACAGGATTTGTGCATTAGTACAGAGACATTGTCGGATACCCAGACATGTCGCCAAGATTTTGGGGAGCCAAAGGCCACACTTGTAAGAGCAATACAAACAAGCAGAACCCCACGGTTGTTGCCAAATTGAGCCAAGGACAAACTGTATCATCAGAAGCCGAAATATGTGAAACTTCCAGAGAAGTGATTCAGGTAAGACCTTCATGACTGAGTAATCATACTTAAAAATAAAGTCTGTGCTCACCTTCTGATGACCAATCATGAGATTAAAGCAAATTAATATGGAAACTACAGGAAGGATGTAAAGCTCCTGTGTCAATCTGGCATTCTGCAGCATTTTTAAAAAGAATACCATTCTAAAGTTAATTTTCTTAGACACGGAACGTGTTGTGCCAGATCACAGAACAAGAAAAAGACAAGTAAAAGTGGGGAGGGGGAAAAAAACAAATGAAAAGCTATAGGCAAATTATCCCATTTTTTTTACAAAAAAGGAGGGGAATAAAAGAATACATTATATATATAAAATCACACTGGCCAAAATAAATTTAGGGATACACGGCAGCAATAGGTAACCATGTACAGTTGCTGTCTGTAAAAATTCCCCATTTCTGATGGTGGGCTAACTTTTAATGCTTACCTGGCACCAAAATATCATATGCTAGAGAATGGACTTGTTCTTCTTTCATTTTCCAAATTTTAGGGCTTGCAGATGCAAAAATATAAATATCTACTGATAATGCCACCCCACCCCACAAGCCAGACACTGTGATCATCATCCTCTTACCATGCACCACTGCCCAATTCAAAAAAAAGGCAACAGAGAGGCGCAGCCTTAAAGTACATTCTTTTTTTTTTGTAACATCAGTCTTTCAAAGAAATCTGGAACAAATTTTAATGGCTGATGGAGGAAAAAAAGGTGTAATAAGCCGCAAAATGTCTTAACGCCTAGAGGTAACTGGTAACTACTATAGACACTCCCAGAAGAGCATTCCTACAGCCAGCCAATGTAGGTCTCCATATTTCATTTTTGCCCCACTCTGCCCCCCCCCATCTTTCTTTTACTTCAGGGAGCACACTCGTTTTAATTCTTCACAAGTTCTGGACATGATTCCCAAAGCAAGTCAGCCCCAGTTCCTCCAGTTACACTTTACATCAATGATGGGCAATTCTATATTGTTCCAGTCACACAGACGTTATCTGCCCCTCAGCAAAGGGTGGCTGGAAAGATGCAGAGCCAGAACAATGAATCATGCAGAGATGCAGCAGACAGACTCTCTATGGGACAAGACCATTTCAGCTTACTTCATGTGGTACAGCTGTAGTCTCAGAGAAAAGGAGCTGATCCAGAGTATTATCTCAGTTACGATCACACTGGGGTGGGGGGAAGGAATTCCTTCATCCTGGAAATGTGTTAACAGCTCCAAAACCACTGTGGGAGATTTCAGAGGTAGTGGCATTTATGTATAAGGAATTTCCTCAAAGAAATCTGTTTCTAGTCTGCATCCCAACCTTGCAGAGGGATGGCACCAGCACATTTGCTCCCCAGCACTATCCTATCACACAATTACAGAATGGCTGAGGACACGTCATAAAAAGCATGGGCGCCCTTCTAGGATTGGGTGTTGGTCCCCCAAACACGGCAAGTCTAGCCAGCTCTGCCTCTGTGTACAAAAGATTAACTGTGCCAGGGGGTTCTTCTTTACTATGAAAAGAGGTCCAAGAAAAGAACCCTTTGGCAGGAATAGATTAGTTCCTTCCCCTTCTTAAATGTGCAAACGCACAAGACATTGGAATGTAAAGCAATGGAGACATCACACATGAAAACTGGAAGGGAAGGTGGCACGTCTTGCTCCCTTCCAATTCTTACAGAGAACAAAAGCATGATAGGGACAAAATGCTCTTTTTAAACCCATAAGGGCTCTTGGTCCGGGTTCCCTTATGTTCATACAATCTGGCACAGAAGCTGTATTCCTAAATTTTTAACACCACCAGATTTCCATTCTGTCCAGCCTTCAGTTCTCTCTCAAAAGATGCTTACGTTCAACCTGTTTGGTTTTTTTTTAATGTTGTGTGCTTTCTACACAACAAAGGGCCTGGCAGATAGGAACACAACACACACAACACACCTTGTTCACCAGGCATTCTTGTGCATAAAAACAGGGACATGAAACATCATTTCTGGCAGGCATACCTTGACTCCTTGCTTGGTTTCCATGTTAAGTACGGTTTTCATCTCCTGGAACACTAGCCTAGGGGGCCAGAAGGCTACGAGTGTGGGGGGGGGAAGACAGCCACTTCACTAGCCCACTGTGTTCCCAAGCTTAGTCCTGTAAATTTAACATGGAAACCAAGCAAGCTCGTAGCAGAGGCATGGATCGCTCCAGATCTCCGTTGTTAGCTTGTCACATTCCCGCGCAATTTTATCACATGGCATGTTCAACATGGAAACATAATGTGCAGCTACAACAACCACACCAAAGGTATTGCAGCACCTTTAAGACTGACATGTTTACTCCAGCGCTGGAAGAAGTGCCCTGTTTCTGCGAAGCTCAAGGAGAAACAAATTTAAAAGGGCTGCAATACTTTTTGTTGCTGCTAAAAAATGGACTAACCCAGCGATCTCTCTGGAAAGTGGGCTGCCAATTAAAGCAACCCGTGGTTCCGGTAATTAAGTGGGGTGTGGAGTGGGGTGTAGGATTACATGTACAATTACACATAGTGTGTGAACAGCCCGTCCTTTGCATAGAGTCGACTGTTGAATTTCATTTATTTATTATTTATTTATTTGTTATATTTATATCCCGCCCATCTAGTCACCAATTTCCTGGCACGGCCGGGGAGGACTGGAAAGACTTTCTAGCTGAAATCCCAAAGAGTTTGCTATCAGTTCCTGCAGTTCATGTTCAACAGGATCCGGTACGGAACTACAGCTTTCTAAGTTCCCAGTGCTGCAAAACAAAGTTTCTGAGGGCCACGAGAGGTGGATTTGGGGGTTGGAGAATCTGGGGCTCAACCTGAAACAGGATATTTGGTGACTGGTGATTGCAGGGGCCACTGTTTTATTTCGATTTGCCACCCAATGCAGGCAGATATGGGACAAGAAAATAAAGATTCCAACATCAGTCTGTTTTGTTTTTTTCATCAGGAGAAAACTGCCAGGCAGAATCGAAGGTACGACATGACTTCTAACTTGACCACGTGAGCACTGTTCACGTACGGCATAAACTGCCAGGAAATAAGAGCTATACATTGTGTTACTCTTCCCCTCTGAAACAGTGGCATGAACTGAGATATCCAGGACTGGAATAAATAAGAATTTCTGAGGGAAAATGGGAGGGAGGACATATTGGCATGATTTCAGTATTACACACAGGTTGTGTGTGTTTTCTGTCAAGTCAAAACCAAATCAGAGTCATCCTAATAGGGCTTTCAAGGTAAATGAGATATTTAAGGAGTAGTTTTACCAGCCCCCCTCCCACCGTAAATTCCCATGGATGAGTGGGGATTTGAACCCAGGTCCACTGAGGCCTTTGTCTGCCACTTTACCCAAAACACCACACTATCTTCAACCACGGGTCCTGGAGATCTACTTCCATGCTGTGTAGCATATCAGACAGCTCAACATAGATTAGGTAATATCATTTGAAACGGGCTCCACAGCTTTGCTTCAGGGAGCCGTCCAGAGGGGCCGAACTCCAACTAGAAAGGACGGACTCTGAAATCCAACCAAATCGGAGGCCCACAAGTTAAGGAAGGCTGCTTTGAGGGGTAGGGGAGCTGGGGTTACGAATGGAATTCACTCACTTCAGCATGAGGACTCCAAAGGACAGGGGCGCCTGGTTAGCTCTAGAAAACCACAGTGACGCAGCCTGGAGATGGAAGGCCTGCAGGAAAGCCCAAACAGCACATTTCCAGGTCACTTACAAGGAGAGTCATCTTGCATACCAGAGAATTCACATCCGCCTTGGCCCCTCACCAGCATGCAGTGCAGCCGTCGTCACAAACAAGTCTACAAAAGAGAGCCTCTACAGAGACAGACAGGATGAAGTCAAACTACCGGCTATCTTTGTTTGGTTTGACCTTCCAGAGAAAGGCATGGGAGTCCCTGGTAATAGCTTTCCCTTGCCTGCCTGCCAATGAGCTCAAGGCTTGCGATGCCTCTCTAGGCTCACCACAACCCTGCAAGATGATACGGGGCGCCCTGCTGGAGCAGATCAAAAGATTTACAGGTCCAGCACCCAGCTTCCCAAAGTCGCCGGAGAGATGCCTCCAGGGGAGTCCACAACAAGGACGGGGCACAACAGCTCCCTCCCCGTTTTGCTCCCCAGAAATGGGTACTGGGAGGCAGGCTGCCTTTGAGAATGGAAGAGCATACACAGGTATCATGATGGGTAGCCACCGACAGCCTGGCTCTCCGTGAATCTGAGGTAGGTTAGACTGAGACACGGCAACTGCCCAAGGTCACCGTTGTGCATTGCACACACCTGACAGGACATGTGCGCCTTTTGCACTTAGGAGGCACACAAGAGATGCCGCATTTTGCAAACGGAGAACTGGTCCTCGATGACTTCCACATAATTATTCAGGCTGGAAGGAAAGGTTGCATCAAAGGGCAGAACCCCAAATCGCTCTCACTTAAGGACTGCATCTATTTTCGGGAAGAGATGCTTCAGAATTTTCCTACTAACCCCGAAAAACCAGGCGGACCCAACACAGAGAGCAGCCCAAACAGCTTGTACAGATTCCAGAATTCCATTTCTCGAGCAAATAATGGTTTTCTTCAGTGTCCAAGTAACTAATTGGGCATCTTATGCTAGCCAACCGATTTCCCATTCAAGGTGAGACCATCTTAGAGGCAACTGTACGTTTTTCTTTAAAACTGGGGGTATAACTCTTAACACAGGGAGAAGACCCATAATTAATTGTCTTACATTCTGAACAGAAAATGGGTTGTGTAACCAATTGTAAGGACAGCACTTCTACCACTAGTGCCCCTTAATCTGCACCAGTCACTAGGGAAAACAATTTGAGAAAATGACAGAAGCCTGAGACACAGAAATGTACAAACAGACACACAGAATGCACTTTAGACCATCAAGTCCTCATAAATCAACTGGATGGTCCCTCCTTATTTGGCTTCGACATTTCTCACCGTTCCCTTGCAAACATTTAAGTTCCGATCCCAGCTGAAAAAGTTTGACCCAGCTGAAAAAGTTTGATCTGCCAAACCAAAACTGCAGTAACCCGCTTTCAAAAGGAAAGCATATCGGTTTTCTGTGGCTGGCACAATCGACCAGCCCCACCTCTCCAAGCTATACAAGGTATACATTAAAAAAAACTTGCACTCTCCTTTTGATGCCCCCCAAATGAGGAAAAATCCTCTAAATCATGGTTTCCGTGGAAACGTTGGCTCTTGGTTCTACATGATTTCTCCACGGTTGCAGGAATAGTGAGAGGGGACGGAAGCCCCTTTGCCGTGCCAAGTCCAACGCATCAGTCAAAATGGTTGCAGAATCTCCTTATGCATCCAGGGTGGGGCGCCTCTTCGGTTACAGCCAGAGGTCCGTGTCATTGCTTCTTGGTCGATTCTACTAAGAGAATGGGCCAAATCCCAAAGAGAAACTATTGAAAGGAAGGGAGAAAAGAAAGGTTTTCTTAGACCGTGGGGCCAGAATACAGAAACAGAGACCACTTTGAAGATCCTCCTCTAACTGCTGGCGACAAAATGATTTATTTCTCAATATTCTCCACAGAAGCGACGTCACGCTTGCACACTAGTTAAGACAGGGAGTCCCCAGCTGAATAGCAGAAAACCTGGCTTGCTCGTATGAATTTAAAAGCAACTTCATCTACTAGTGCTACTCTTGGTTGCTGCTAATACCGACAAAGTTGCTGCTAAACACGGAGGAGCTAGCTGGGAAAGAAAAGAAGACTGACATCAATAATAAAGGACTCACATTTATTGAGTGTTTATGCTCTAGATCAGATTGCTATCCAGAGAATTACTGTTCTTGCATCTCTGCATTTTAAAAAGAGCTTTACAGATAAAGCGATAAATACAGAATGGCAAAAAAGATACACATGCCCTCCCCAGTTTCACACTGTGTAAACCACACTGCCTGGGATTTGTCGAAAGAAAGGAAATGTACAAGGAACCTGGCCTCCTCAGGTTTGGCTGCTGGGGGTTGTGATCTGGTGACTTAGGGCTCACGTGCCTGCAGAGAGGGCTCTGAGGGCCAGCTGTGGCCCACGGGCCGTAGGTTTGCCATTGCTGACCTATGTTGATGTTGTGAACACCAGGAACACAAATGATTGACATTCAGGAGGACGGTGATGCCAGAGGGAAGGCCGGCCTGGTTCAAAATCCAACCATCAAGCAGAGGAAGAGCAGTGGCCGGACACTGACACTTGCTTCCACACACGCCCCCAAACAGAAAGAACATTTGACATCAATGGCCACTCACACTGAGGAGCCGAAGGGAGACAAACTCATTTACCAGCCAAGGGTCTAAAGGTTTCTAAGTTATTTATAATTTTTGTGATTAGTTGTAATCAATTTTGAAAACTATTCAATCAAATGTGGGGTGTAAATAGACAGTTAATTCTATCAAGGAGCATGACTTAGTTTGCTGTTTTAAAACCCTAGCCCATCAGGGAGTCTTTCTCAGCTCGCTCCGTACAAGGAAACCAAACGTGGACTCTGAACAAATGCTGCCTTGTCTGACTTTCAGCAGCAGCTCAACAGAGTCACTTCCTACCTATTTTTCTTTTAAATCAGAGAAGCCAGTCATTAAAACTGGGACCTCCTCTATGCAAAACACGTGTTCGATCATTTAGGAATGATTTCTGGGCCTGCTTCACCAAGTTAGAGTGGGACTACAATTCCCAGAATTCCTGAACCTTCAGGGCCCAGAGTAATGGATGTCCTCGCTCGCAAAGTAAAATGTCCAAACTCAGGAACAGTCCTTGCTGGGAACAGTTCAAGAGATCTGCCTTGTTCTGTTTCTACTTCCCAGGAGTAGCAAATCAGAAGTTTCTGGACAGGCCACCGACATGACTAACTCGCTGTCCGGCGACTGCATTCCAGCCACTGATATCAGGAGGAAAGTGTTCTGCTTCTGAATCTGAACAGAGAAAAGCTGTACAGTGGTGCCTCGATTGACGATTACCTCGTTAGATGAGGAAATTGCTTAACAATGTTTTAAATGGGAAAAATTGCTTCACAATGATCGGTTCAGTTTCGGGAACCGATTTTTCGCTTTACGACTATCAGAAAACAGCTGATTGTCGGGTTTCAAA